ATATATATATATATATATATATATATATATATATATATTAATGTTATTACATTATATTATATATAAATAATGTTATTTTTTGTACAAAAGTTGTGAAGATACAGATGAATTTTTAAAGAAATTAGGGCTTTTATTCAGCAGGGATGCATTAAATTGATCAAAAGTGACATTTATAATGTTACAAAAGATTTCTATTTTAAATAAAATGCAGTTCTTTTGAACCTTCTATTCATCAAAGAATCCTGAAAAATAAAATGATCACGATTTCCACAAAAAATATTCAGCAACACAACTGTTTTCAGCATTGATAATAATCAGAAATGTTTCTTGAGCAGCAAATCAGCATATTAGAATTATTTCTGAAGATCATGTGACACTGAAGACTGGAGTAATGATGCTGAAAATTCAGCTTTGATCACAGAAATAAATTACATTTTAAGATATATTCACATAGAAAACAGCTATTTTAAATTGTAAAAACATTTTACAATATTACTGTATTTTTGATCAAATAAATGCAGCCTTGGTGAGCCGAAGAGACTTCTTTCAAAAACATTTCAAACTTTTCAGTGATAGTCTATATGTGTCTTTTCTGCTTTTTCGCTACTGCTGGAATAGATACGTGAAGCATCTGTGTGAAACATGTTCCTGTGGAGCGACGTCAAGGGTTAACCCGCGTAAAGCCTGAAGAATGTGATGGTCAGCACCTCGACGTCTTATTTCCGACCTGTCATTCAGCACACTCAGTGTGTGTCTCCCCTAAAAATAACCTCTAGTAAAACCAGAACACCAGAGTCAAACATGACCTTAACCTGGATGCCTCGCTCTAAAGCCGTCAATCAAACGTAAAGCCTGTCCTCTGAGCGAGGAGATTCCCGTGTGTGTGGCATCATGTGTGCGTGAGTGTTTTAAAGAGCACAGAATACCTCAGAGGTTGCGTTTACTCATGGTCACTAGTGAAGACGTTCGTCTTTAAAGTGTCTGCTGATGTTGTTGATTGTTCGCTTCAGGACTCTCCATCCATGCTTGTTTATTCTTTGTAGAAGCAGTAAAATGGACCTTCTTCCTCTATTACAGTGTTATTTTATTATCATTGATATACTATTATAGTTTTTGTTAATATTTTTATTAGTTTTTAAATGTTTATATTCATTTGTATTTATTTTTTGTACTTCATGTTTGTGTATTTATTGCATGCTTCTTATTTATTTATTTTAATCATTTTAGTACTTCAAGTTAAAGTAAATGAAAATGAGAAATGTTGCCTTGGCAACTAGCTGAAATAAAATGAATGTTTTCTTTTTACTTAACTTTAATTTTACAATTGTACAATAAGTAACCATTTTAAAAGGTTTGTTTGTTTGTTTGTTTTGAATTAACAACCTAAACACAAGATTTATTTGTTTGTTTGTTTGTTTAAAAGAAATTGTCATGTTTTTTGTGTGTGTTTTTTTTTAGTTTATTAGCTTATTGGCTGAACTAAAATAAGTTGAATTTTGTAATATTTATTTTATTTCACTTAGATTTTATTTTAAATTTTAAAAAAAAGTCTTATTTCAGTTAACTATACTAACCCTGCAATGCTGAAGATGGAAGATGCTGCACGACATGCAAAAGTTTCATATTGTTCATGTTGTTTCATATTGACATATTACAGTATGTTGCTGTACATGTTGGTTTCTGTTTAGTCATAGTGAAATCTCATTGGTCCAAAATCCTGTATATTAAACATCAAATATGTTGATTGGTTGGGATTTCGCTTTCAGTGATGCCAGAAAAATGCATTTGAAACTCTGTTTGCATCTAATTTGGTTGAAGTGCATTAAAAGGTATTTGAGAAATGTTTAACTCTATAAACAAAAATATTATCTTTGCTTGAAAAGAGTTAATAGTCAGACTACTGCAGCAGCAATTGTTCACATAATGTGCACAAACACGTGACGCGGCGCTCTCTGAATGCACATGTCAGTATGCATACACATGTAATGTACACACAGTAAAGCCCATAATCCAGTGTCGGTTTTTAGATGGCTGGATTCTGCTGGTGAAGATAGATCATCCCATCAGCCTGCTGCAAACATGGAGATCTGGGTGTTTACATATTGACTCACATCTGCTGTAAATCATAACACACATTAACACACTGTGTGTGACTGCGGTTATTATTAGTGGTCTTTATAAGTCAGTCCTCACTATTACTATTGCTCATATTTAGGGTTAAGGCCCATTCACACCAGAAACTACAGCTCTGAAGATAACTATATTAGTGTCCACACCAACACACAGACGTTGTTTATTTTAAGCTTGTGTTGTTGTCTGCCACTTTAAAGCCTGGTGGATTCTGATTGGCTGTCAGTGTATTTATCGTTCATCAGTAAACTAAAAATCATTCGGAAAATGATTCCAGTGGTATCATTCCACTTTGTCGTCATCGTTATGGTTGTGGTGTGGCCATCTCCATTCTCAAAGAATTAAAATAATTTAATTTTTTTATTAATTAATGATTTTTTAAGTAATTAATGAGTTTTATTTATTAACACAAGATTTATTTGTTTGTTTGTTTGTTTAAAAGAAATTGTCATGTTTTTTGTGTGTGTTTTTTTTTAGTTTATTAGCTTATTGGCTGAACTAAAATAAGTTGAATTTTGTAATATTTATTTTATTTCACTTAGATTTTATTTTAAATTTTAAAAAAAAGTCTTATTTCAGTTAACTATACTAACCCTGCAATGCTGAAGATGGAAGATGCTGCACGACATGCAAAAGTTTCATATTGTTCATGTTGTTTCATATTGACATATTACAGTATGTTGCTGTACATGTTGGTTTCTGTTTAGTCATAGTGAAATCTCATTGGTCCAAAATCCTGTATATTAAACATCAAATATGTTGATTGGTTGGGATTTCGCTTTCAGTGATGCCAGAAAAATGCATTTGAAACTCTGTTTGCATCTAATTTGGTTGAAGTGCATTAAAAGGTATTTGAGAAATGTTTAACTCTATAAACAAAAATATTATCTTTGCTTGAAAAGAGTTAATAGTCAGACTACTGCAGCAGCAATTGTTCACATAATGTGCACAAACACGTGACGCGGCGCTCTCTGAATGCACATGTCAGTATGCATACACATGTAATGTACACACAGTAAAGCCCATAATCCAGTGTCGGTTTTTAGATGGCTGGATTCTGCTGGTGAAGATAGATCATCCCATCAGCCTGCTGCAAACATGGAGATCTGGGTGTTTACATATTGACTCACATCTGCTGTAAATCATAACACACATTAACACACTGTGTGTGACTGCGGTTATTATTAGTGGTCTTTATAAGTCAGTCCTCACTATTACTATTGCTCATATTTAGGGTTAAGGCCCATTCACACCAGAAACTACAGCTCTGAAGATAACTATATTAGTGTCCACACCAACACACAGACGTTGTTTATTTTAAGCTTGTGTTGTTGTCTGCCACTTTAAAGCCTGGTGGATTCTGATTGGCTGTCAGTGTATTTATCGTTCATCAGTAAACTAAAAATCATTCGGAAAATGATTCCAGTGGTATCATTCCACTTTGTCGTCATCGTTATGGTTGTGGTGTGGCCATCTCCATTCTCAAAGAATTAAAATAATTTTATTTTTTTATTAATTAATGATTTTTTAAGTAATTAATGAGTTTTATTTATTAATTTTTGTGTATTTATTTAATTAATTTATTTATTTATTTTGACTTAACCAACCAAAACGCCCTTATTGCATGTGTGTTGCACTGCAGCGTCTCTCATAATTTATTTATTAGTTTTTTGTTTTGTGTATTTATTTATTTATTTGCTTTATTTATTTTTGTGCATTTATTTTTTCTTTTGACCACCCAGAACACACTTAAAATTCAGTCTGTGTATGTTGAGCTGGAGTGTTGACCAGAATTATTATTAATTTATTTATATATTTGCATTTATTTGTGTGTATTTATTTATTTGTTTGTTTGTTTATGCTGCCTGGCAGCATCCACAAGAATGTATTTGTTTATTTGTGTTTATTTCTTTGCTTTATTTATTTTTGTGTATTTATGTCTTTGCTTATTAATTCATTTATTTATTTTGACTTAAACATCCAGAACACTCTTAAAATTCAGTGTGTGTCCTGCAGCATCCATCTTATTATTTAATTGTTTGTTTGTTTGTTTTGTGCATTAATTTATTTTTGTGTATTTATTTATTCATTCATTTAACCATCCAGAACTTCCTCTCTACCGCTTAGTAACATCCTGGCAACTACTCACAACGTTCATCAACGCTATTCATTTCAAGACCTTATCCTCAAAATACTTAGCATTGCCCTGGCATCCACATAATATACCTGCAACCTAGCAACTACCCAAAACAATTGGTACCACATAGCAACGTGCAAAAAATCTTTCAGAACACCAAAGCAATTGCCTAGCAACACCCTGGAAACCCCACACAACACAAGTAATAACACATTGACATAACGATAACTGGATCTTTTTGCTGTCGTTCTAGGAGACAGCAGCGCCTGCCTGGAGGAGGAGGAGGGGGGGCTGCTTGGAAATCTCAGAATCCTCAGCAGCAGCAGCAACAGCTGCCCAATCAGATGCAGCAGCCCAACTCAGACCACCAATCAGGTGCCAGCACTAAGCATGGGGGGTGGGGTTATCAGGGGCAGCAGAACCAGGTTGGGTGGCAGGATGGGTGGCAGGGTGGCCTGCATCACGGCTACAGCCAGAACCGCCGCTGGCATCAGCATCCTAAACACCAGACAAACAGTTTCAATCAGGGGCCCTCAGGGGCCGAAAGGGGCCTCACACACAATACCAAAGAAACCGAGAATGTAAAACAAGAGGAGCCAGAGCCCCACATGGAAAAAGGAGCAAAGGACGAACCTGCGAAAGAGGAGAGAAAGAAAAGAGACAAGGAGGAGAAGACGGAGAGCGGGAAGATCTGTTTACTGCAGTCGTCAAAAGAGAGACTGAGGAGGAGATTGAAAGAGAAGGTGACTGATGCTAAATACATTAGCAACATATTATTAGTGTGGTAAAACATGTTAACAACATGCTAAAACAAGCCAGAAGCTTTCTAAATACCCTAACAACATACTATCAATACTGTCAACATACAGTGGGTACGGAAAGTATTCAGACCCCCTTAAAT